ACCCTGCTCTGTTCTCTCCCTCCGCTCTCTGATCTTTCTCTCAGCTTCTTTCACATTGGCAGTAAGCACAGCGACAAAGATGTGCATGTGGACACTCTTCCCATCCAACTCAGTCACTAGCACATGCACAAGCATCTGCCAACACCATACTATGCATACTCCTCAGTTAACACAGTAATGATTTAACCCAATAACCTTTGTCTCCAGCCCCATTCACACCAATGACAGTCATGGGATAAATTAAAATATCAAAACAAAACTGACCAAATTACTTAAGCAGCTTGTATGATGCACTGTTCCACAGGTACATTGGATTGTCAAACTTTCATGTTGTAACATTAACAACCTTTTCTCAGAAGACCTCCGTTCTAAAGAACTTTGGCCCTTCCTTCTGTTTGATCATGTCCTCTCCCAGACTTGCTGGCGCCAGTTCCCAGATAGTGACCTCATTAGTGGCCAAAAGAGTCTACAGAGTTTTTGATCAAGAACCAAACTGCAATTAACTTCCAGGCCTTGCCTCAGAAACAAACAGTTTTTATACTTTTTTTTAAAAACACAACTGCCACTCACTGTCCAGAGGTCACCATTCAGCCCTCCGATTCAAACCCAAAATGATTTTTAAAAACTCAGCGAGGGTTCTAACAGTACACAGCAAAAAGACCTTTATCCAGTGACACAAATTGAGTGAGTGGGACACTATGCATTGGAGTTTTGTTTCAATGAGATCATGTGCCATTGTTTTAATCAGATTCTAAAGTGCTTTGACATGGTAAATACTGAAAGAAACCATAATCTCAGAATGAAGTGTGCCAATTTAAAGCTGAAATGAGGAGAATTTTCCTCTCAGAGGGTTGAGTGTCTTTGGAACTTCTGTCCTCAAAAGAGGTTACAGGGCAAAGTCTTGATGTATTTTTCAGGCTGAGATAGGTAGATTCTTGATCAGTAGGGAAATTAAGGGTTACAGGACAACGCTGGAAAATTCGACATCAGGAATGTCAGATCAGCCGCAATCCTATTGAATGGCAGAACAGGCTCAAGGGACCAAATGGCCTACTCCTGTTCCTGTTACATATGGTCTTCCAGTGGACTGCCGAAAAAGTCGTAACCAATTGCACAGACTGAGTGAGTGTTCCAGTGAATTGACGGTGGAAAGAGCTTTAACATAGACTGAAATAAAATCTCACCACAGACAGTTGACAGAAACTATATGGACGTTCTGTCTATTGGATTAAAATTTACCTAATCACCGAGCCAGGAGAGACAACAGATACGCACACTGTGGAAATATCAGGACAATGGCAGTGATACAGTCCCCCACCTCAGCTGACCACCCAATGGTGCAGTTCCACCGGGGACAGACCATTCCCGTGCTCCATGTGCAGGAAGGATTCAGTCAGACACCCAGCTACTGAGACACCTGTAAGTTTGCAAGGAGTTACAGAGTTGGATTCCGGTGGGATTATTACTTTTTATCACAACCAGCTTCATCTGACCTTCACACTGCACTTTTACCGCAGTAAAACCTCCCACCGGGACTAATAAAACAAAACTGCAGAGCCCCAGACGGAGACATTCGGGCGGAGTTGGGACGGATAGGAGATGAGTGGGGGGAGAGAAAGAGGGAGAGCCGGAAGCGGGCGTGGAACAAAACAGGACCACGCCCTGTCCCTGTTACGTCACCACACAAACCGCGCTTGCGCATTTCCCACCAAATCCAGATGCGGAGGTGCCGGCGTTGGACCGCAGCCTATTTCAGGGAAGAAGCCTGAGGCTCTCTGCAGCCTAAATCGCGGCACCAGAAAAGCCTTGTTTGGGGCTTGAGACCTAAACTGGGCAATAATGCAACCCTTTTGCTGGCATAAAGCAACAAAGCTGCCCCCCCTCTTTAACCTTCACTCACCATTTGTGGATGTCATGAAAGACTGGAAAAGGTCAGCAGAATTTCTGAGGAAGGGTCACCGAACCCGAAACGTTCACTCTGTTTTCTCATCGACAGATGCTGCCAGAGCTTTTCCAGCAACTTTGTTTTTGTTCCTGATTTACAGCATCCGCAGTTCTTTTGGTTTTCATTCCTTCCGTCGCTGCCGGCACGCAATTATTTCTGAAGAAGAACCTAGGCCCGAAACGTCAGTTTTGCTGCGTTCATGCAGCTCTACACCTTGTTATCTCTGATACAATCCACAATGAGCTGTGCGCATGCTCTAAAGCTACACGCCGGTTTGATGACGTCACACGACCAATAGCAAGGAAGGGGCGGGACTGGAGGATGGCAGCGGAACTGCTTGTCCTCCAACCGATTGAGGACGAGGGTCGGGCTGCAAGAACATGCTCGAACGGAAGGAGGGGCGGTGTTATCCTTCCAACCAATCGGGGAGACACAGTGACGGGACTGGAATTCGAACCTCCTTCGGAACGTGTGACGGGCGGGGTTAGTGCTCCAACCAATCAGTACACGGGAAGGCGGGTCTAACAACGTGACCAGAGCATGCGCCGTAGGCGTGATGGAGCCAGAATGTTGTTCTCTGGATTGAAGGGAGGTCTCTTGTCTGTCCATTCTTTTTATAGAGCATTCAATGGGAAGGATTCCCAAATCATCAATTTCAACCCGATATCACAGCAAAGTCTAACAGAGTCACTCTTTTCAGCAGTATCTCAGTGTCATCGGTCTTTCACCGTGCAAGGTAAAATGTTTGTCTGTCGTGTCTGTGGGAAAAGATTTCTGAGATCAGTTTCACTGGACAAGTTCCGAGAAATTCAAAATCGTGTGCAGTGCACCCCCGGAGGATGTGTCTGGGCACCACAATTTAGGAAGGAGAGTCTGGACCTTCCTCGGGGTCTGCGCAGGTTTACTCCAATGTTTCGGAGACTGAAGTGTTCTTATTATGAGCAACGGTTGCAGGAATCAGTTTTAAATTCATTATAACACAGAAACGAATAATTTAGCCTATTTCATCAATCTGCCAGTCCTGAGCCCATTGATCCGATTGATCAAAATCTCTTTGCAATCAAGAAAGCTAATAAGCTGTATCCTTTATTATTACAGGAATTGAACACAAATGTAAAGATATTTGCTTAATTTGTAAAAAGAATAGGTGAGACCACGTCTTGAATAAAGTGGTGAAGAGCTGGAGGAACACAGCAGGCCAGGTAGCATCAGAGGAGCAGGAAAGTTGATGTTTCGGGTCTGAAGAAGGGTCCCAACCCGAAACATCAACTTTTCTGCTCCTGTGCTGCCTGGCATGCTGTGTTCCTCCAGCTCCACATTTTGTTATCTCTGACTCCAGCATCTGCAGTACTTGCTATCTCTCTTGAATAAAGTGTTCAGGTTTTGGCCATCTTCTGCAAATTTATTGGAGGTGTTTCAGAGGAAGATTTGAGATTAATACCTGGAATCAATGAGTTGTCCAAGGAGGATAGGCTGGGCAGGCAAACAGGAGAAGGAGGTGGGTTAGAACTGCCGATTAAGACAGGCAAGTAGTGTGATTGTAAGCAAGGATATAGTGAAGTAGAACATATATGGAACAAAAAAACAGAAATTGCTGGATAAACTCAGCCGGTCTGACAGCATCTGTGGAGAGAAATCAGAGTTAAAGTTTCAGATCAAGAGACCCTTCCTCAGAATGGAAATGTAAACTCCTATTTCTCTCCACAGATGCTACCAGCAGACCTGCTGAGCTTATCCAGCAATTTCTGTTTTTGTTTCTGATTTACAGCATCTGCTGTTTTTTCTTTGGTTTTGTAGAGTGTTAGTTGAGCTTAGAAACATTAATGGTTGGTAAATGAGAGTAAGGTTGTACATAGACTCAAAAATACAGGAGCACAATTGGGAAAGGTATTAGAATGGAATGTAGAGATGCAAGTAATAAAGTTCGGACCGTAAATATGGGTGACTTTAATCTATATATAAATTGAGCAAATCAAATTAGTAGCAATATGATACAGGAGGCATTCTTAGCATGTATATGGAACAGTTTTATGAATCAGTACAACGAGGAAGCAACTGGGTATTGAGTAATGAGAAAGGAATTTCATTATGGTGGCTTAGTAGTTAGCACTGTTGCTTTACAGCGCTAGGAACCCAGGTTCAATTCCACCCTTAGATGACTGTCTGTGTGGAGTTTGCACATTCTCCACATGTCTGCATGGGTTTCCGCCGGGCACTCCGGTTTCCTCCCACAATCCAAAGGCTAAGTAGATTGGCCGTGCTAAATTGCCCATATTGTTCAGGGAGATGTAGATGAGGGAGATGGGTCTGGGTGGGATGTTCTGAGAGTCGGTTTGGACTTGTTGGGCGAAAGGGCCTGCTTCCACACTGTATGGAATTTTATGGTCTATGAATAATTGATAATAAAGTTGAGCATCGGCACTTCATCCACCACATTAAGGTGGAGAGTGATGTCTTCTTTCTGAGACGATAGTCCTGTCATTAAATAAAGAAAATTAGAGTGATGTGAGGTGTGAGCTAACTGTGATAAATCATGGATCACTATTGAAATGGGTTTTGAGAGATTGTCCATGCACTCTTTAAATGTTTGCCATGATCTATGTACAAAAGTTGTTCATCCCAGTCTGGCATAAGAACAATACAGGAAACATGGTGAAACCATGTCAAAAAAGGGAAATGATGGCTAGTATTAAATTTGTCAAATAAATCACCACATTGGTAACAGTTTAGAATTTAACAAAGGGATTGATTAAATGGCAGAAAATAGAGTATGAGAGTATGCTTGCAGAGACCATACAAATCAATGGTTTTCTTTTGTTACAGACATTGCTGTCTAAGCCAGAATATACTGCCCATCTATGATTGCTAAGGGGGCTGTCAAGAGTCAACTGCATTGTTGTTGGGTTGGAGTCACATGTAGGCCAGACCAGGTAAGGATGACAGTTTCTTTCCCGCAAAGGACATTAGTGAACCAGCTGGGATTTTTCTGACAATCAATGCTTTCATGATCATCATTAAACTCTTAATTCAAGATTGATAGTAAAACGTTAATAAAGATGAACACAGGTTCTCCTACAATTGGAAACAGAGGAATTAAAAAATGGAGTACAAAGTGATGGTAGACCAACAAAATACATCTTCAACAACAACAACAAAAACAAAGTTGCTGGAAAGGCTCAGCAAGTCTGGCAGCATCTGTGAAGGAAAAAACAGAGTTAACGTTTCGGGTCAAGTGACGCTTTCTCAGAACTGATAGTGGTTGGGAAAATGTCAGTTTATATGGAGAAAATAGGGAGGTGGGTAGGGTAGGGAGTAAACGATAGGATAGAACCCAAAGAGAGAGAAAGACAGTTGGATAGACGAAGGAGTTGCTAATGATCAGGCTGGTAGGGTGAATAGTTGTTAATGGGGACTGTTAGTGCAGTTCTTTCGGTCTTTATTTAAAATACATCTTCATATCTTCAAAAAGGAGAACACAAATAACATCCCCAAAATAAGGGGAAATCACAGTGTCTAATGGGAAGGTAGAATTGAAAGAAATTAGTATTGGTAGGAAAATGATATTGGGTAAAATAATGGGATTAATGCAGATGAATCCCCAGAAATTGATAACCTTCATCCCAGAGTACCTCAGGAAGTGGTCCAAGAAATAGCAGATCCACTAGTGATTACCTTCCAAAACTATACAGACTCTGAAAGAGTTCCTGTAGATTTGAGCATAGCTAACATAACCCCAATATTTAAGAAGGAAGCAGAGAGAAAATAGGGAATTTGCATGATGCTGGTTATGGGAAAAATGCTAAAATCCACTCTAAAAGATGTATTAATAAAGTACTTGGAGTATAATAACAAGATCAGACAGTCAGCAGGGCGTTTTCTTTCTGTGCTGTAGATCTTTGAGACTCTTTGTTGGATATGAATTCCCTCCAAGCCACTCGCTGTCCTGACTTGGAAACATATCACTGTTCCTTAACTGTTGTTGGATCAAAATCCTGAAATCCCTCGCTAACAACATTGCGAGTCAACTTACAGCCTGTGGACTGCAGTGGTTCAAGAAGGCAGGTCACCATCTTCATAAAGGTCACTGGAACCAGCCAGTCATGCCGGCATTCCATGATCAAATTTTGAAAAAAGACATTTTCGAATTGAAGCCTACGTAGATCAGCTATGACCTTTTTGAGGCTGGAGGAGCCAAATGGACTACTTCAGCTCCAATTTCAAATGTTCTCTGCCCTTTTACCAAAATGCATCATCTCACCAGGAATGTTGTATTTCCTACAATTTAGAAGATCGAGGCATGATTTGATTAAAATTTAAGATGTTAATGAAGTTGGTCAGGGGAATGGAGAGGAGCTATTTCCACTGGGTGGGTGAAGTGGGAACTCAAACAACTTCCTCCCCTGCAGGAATTAGATAAGACTTGAGTTTCTTTGCTCGCTGGTTTATTCAAGTATATGTCTGAGGAACAAGAGTTGGCGAATCGGCCCTTTGAGCCTGCTCTGCCACTCAATAGGATTGTGGCTGAACTGGGTTCAACCTCACCTCTATGTGCCTGCGTATCCCCAACAATCATTCATCATCTTGGTCATGAAGAATCTATCTGCTTCCGCCTTAAAAATATTTAAAGATTCTGCAAACTACTGCCTTTTGAGGAAGTGAATTCCAAAAACTATTAACCCTCTGAGTGAGAAGAAATATTTCCTTGTTACTCTTTTCAATGGGCTCTCCCTTATTTTTGAACTATGACCCCTACTTCTAGATTCTCCCTGAAGAGGAAACATTTCTTTCAGCATCCGGCTGGTCAGGTTCCCTCAGGATCTTTTATGGTTTAGTTTAGTCTCCTCTTTCTCTTCTAAACTCCAGAGGATACAGGCCGGTCTAGCCTTTCCTCATAAGGCAATCCTCTCACACCAGGCATTAGTTCTTAACCTTCCCTGAGCTGCTTCCAATGTATTGACACATGTCCATAAGTATGCCAACCAATACTGTACACAGTCCTCCAGATGCAGTCTCAACAGTATGCTCGGGGTATTGCTCATACCTAAAGGTGGTACATGAATTCCCACTTGCTTACGATAATGCTTTTCAGCAAGCCTAGGTCATTTCCATATCCAGTTACTGGCACAGATTATGGTCAGCCAGTTGTACACTTTCCCTTGTTACATAGACATCATTGTTGTGGCATCACTCGAACGTCCCACTCTGCTGGCTCTGCAGAAATAACCACCAACTGCAGCCTGTTCCCACAGCCTGGTTTGTGTTTTATTTCTCAACTTCTGCATTGTCAGCTAATGATCCAGGTAGGTTTTCATGACAATCGAGCGGATTTCATTTTACTTCTTCCTGTTTTCTATTTATTTTACAGGCAATTAGACAGTAAGTTCAAATCAAATGTGAGATCAAGAGCTGCCAGCAGTGTTCAGTTCTCAGGACCTGAGTATCACCAGCCTTGGAATATGGAAGGAAAAAGCATCGTTCACAGTGAAGAGAAACTGTACAGGTGGTCTGTGTGTGGACAAGGCTTCAGTCAATCGTCTGGACTGTCGCTATGTAAATGCAATCACAATAAGGAAACAACAATTGTGCTAAGCAGCACTTGCTTTGCAATATCATGCTCATAAATCTCAGTTTCAGTTAAGCAAGATTCACTCAACTCCAGATCTCTTTACATTCTTGGTGCAAACATGGACCTAACAGCTGAATTCCAGAGCTGAGAGTGACTATCCTCTACATTGAGGCTCCATCTGACAGACTAGTGTATCAGTGAATCATAAAGCTAGAGTCAATGGGTATCAGAAAATATTATTCGTTCGCAATATGGGGTTTTTACAAATAGAGTCTTCAGACCTGAGTAGACCATAAGAATATGACTTTATTCAAGCTCGTATGACATATCTGTGGAAGAGGTCTGTAAGTCTTGCTTGGAGACACTCAGCCATTTTCAGCTGAAAACAGCATATTAATACATTTTTGTGTCACAACAG